CCTAAACCCTAAACCCTTAATCCTTATTGTAACACTCCAAAAATTTTCCCTCCACTTGAGCGTAAGAGTTGATGCTTGAGCGGACTTGTGAGGCTTCCAGTACTTTTGCAGTCTGTCTGAGATTCTGAGAGTTGTGAATTTCCGCTCGAGCGTAGGAGTGGCCGCTCGAGTGGGTCGGCTTTGTTGGTCTTTTCGCTCGAGCGCAAGATTGGACGCTCGAGCGGTCTGCCGAGTTGAGTCTGAATGTATGGGACTAATGGGATTACTCTTGATATTTTTATTATTATAATTGGTGAAAATTGGTGAAGTATAAATTATATTATTGAATGTTTGAAAAATATTAAAAATATATTTATATTTATAATTGATGAAAAGATAATATTATGTAATACCTTATTGATATACAATTTATTTTTCCTAACTACACTATTGATCGGATCTCAACTGCCATCTCTCAAAACGAGCAGCGTCCTCCTTCTTTGTGGCACTATAATAATGACAATTAATTAATGGCACTTTGTAACTTGATTTGTTGGTCAACGCATTTAACACAAGCACTTACGGGCTGGGACGCGCTTTTATCAACTCACTAACATATAATTACATTTTTAGGCTTTGAAACAGGCATATGCAGAAAATTACTGCTGTGATATTGTTTGACACTGAGATTATGGTAAAAATTGTCTTAAAAATAAATATAAGTGTTAAAAATGTATTAATTTTAATAAAAGTTGTATTAGTGAAAAGTATCTCATATTCTTTATTTATTTTTTATTATTTTTTTTCTTGTGTTTGAACACTTGCCGACCCGCAATATGCATCATGTATCAATTTGGTATTGAAATTTTCAAATTATGTTAATCTGATCCTACAGATTGAATGATAAGGACGGTAGATGCGTCATGTTAAAAACCAAAAGTCTAATGTAGTTTTGTCACTCAATTTAAATGCCATCATATTTAAGACATAAAATAAAGTCAAAATTTTATATTTTAAAGATCAGACTAACACAATTAAAAGTCGTAAAGTATATGTGAAAGATAAGAAATATAATTATTCTAATATAATTATTCTCACATACACTATGTGTGAATCTATTTTCTTTGTATATGGTAGATAAGAGCGTAAGTCTTATTCACCCCCAAAAAAAAAAAAAGAAAAAAAAAAAAAGAAATCCCTTTTGTACAGGAAAACAATATATAAATAAATAAATAAAATAAAAAATTGATTTTATGTATGTAACGTAATCAAGGGGACAAAAAAGGGGTTCAGATGTGCACCAAGTAAAAAAATTTGAGAATAGACAAGAACATAGCAGTGTTTTGAGAATTTACAAAAAAAAGTTAGTTTTCTAATTTTTTTGAACTAAAAAAAGTCGTAAAAGCTAGTTTTTTTAGTTAAAAAACTCACAAAAAACTTTTAAAAAAATTAAAAGTCAGTTTTTAACCAAATTTTCAAAACACTTTATAGTAATAACTTCTAACATATATGAAAATAAAAAAAAAGTAATTATGATGAAAGAGCGTATAACAAAAAATAAAAAAATGAAGAAAGAAAAGAGTAATTAATTAGTAAATATTGATACATACCATCACCGTTGTCATTGGCACGTAAGACGACGAAGACGTACTTGACGAGAGGGATCAAAGTGAGGGTGTAGAGAATCAAAGACAGTACTCCCAATATGTCATCGTTGTGTTTTATACCTTTGGTGAAAGTGGCTGCGTACACGTAGAGCGGTGATGTACCAATGTCTCCATACACCACCCCTATGCTCTGAAACGCTAGACTCAATATCACCGACCACTTTGCACCCTATGCAATTTCAAAAAAATTATATTTCATCCCATCCCATCATGATTATTTGAGTAATTGTTAAAATTGAATGAAGATCATATCTATTTCATTATATCTTTTTGGTTCATAAGGATTATTAGTTTATTAGAATATTTAATATAATTTAAATTCATATATTTTTTAATTATCAATTAATAATTTCATTTATACAATACTAAGACCTCGTTTGGCAAGTGATTTTTTTAGTTAAAAAGTTAAAAAGTCACTAAAAAAATCAAAAAGTCAACAACTCATGTCAAAGATTCTTTTTTTCTCTCTACTTTTTACATCTTTTCATAAAAAGTCAAAAATACTAATTTTTTTAACTCATATTTTAATCAAATAACCAAAAAATTATTAAATTAATCTGTTCCCAAACGAAGCCGAGTTTAGAAAATGAAGTCGTATACCGTTTATTTTTCATGAAATATGGGGAGAGGGTAGGCAAACCTTGGAGCCGTGGCGGAGATGGCCGTGAAGCCTGCCGGATTCCATGTCCAAGGAGTCATATCGTCTCAGCTTTTGCAATGAAAGTTTTTTGGCATTGAGTCGTTGTTGTTGATCAGAAGAAATTTCCTCCTGGCTTACTTCTTCGGTTGGGGTTGTGGTATCTACTATTGCATCATTGCTACTCATTTCTTTAATCCCTGGAAGACTATACTCACCAGAGGTTTATGTATGAAACGAGAAGGATGACCAAAAGTCACACTCTCATATATAAAGAAACATAAAAGCTGTGCGTCCTCTCCATATATATATATATAGAGTGGGAGATGGAGGGGTTGTTGACTGGGGAGGGCTTTTTTTGGTGGAAGGCTTGCGAGGCCTATTAAATGATTTTCTGCATGACGCACGACTTAGGTTCAGATTCTCAAATAATTTATCAAATTTTTTATTAAACATTTCATATGAATGCGGCATCCACACAATTACCATGTGAGATTTATAATATTTTTCTTTCCGTCCTCCTATGAATCGGAGAAATGTAGTTTGAGTGGTGGGATTTTACTATTGGTCTTGTTTCAATAATTTAAATTATTATTATTATTATTTTTAAACTTATGTATATAATTTATAAAAAAAAGTCAATCTTTCTGACTTACTCCTACGGAACCAAGGTCGAAAAGATTGAAAGATAAAATGAAAAAAAAAAGAAAAACCAAAAACATAGGCACATACATAACATCACATGTGGGCCCCACTCATTGCCACATCAATAGATCTCTCTCTTTAGAGTTCCAAAATTAAGATTCTCAATCTTTATTCATAATTAAAAGGTGATGACTTTTCCCAAGTTAGTGATCCAATTAGTGAGGGGTTGTTTGGTTTGATGTAATTCAAATAGTTCATTTTATAGTCTTTTTATTATTATTATTATTATTATTATTATTATTATTATTATTATTTTACAAATATCAATTTATAAAAATTCATTATTGCATGATCATTTTTAGGATTGGCTATTTAAAAACTCTAAAATATCTATTTAGTATATATTATTAAGTCCAACAAAGATGTGCACGAGATTTGAATCTAACGTTTTAAATTTTATTAAGAATATTTTTATTACTTAAATAACATATATATACTTATTGACATAATATTTTAATTTTTTTGTCGATTGTGACTTATTGATAGTGACCAAATCTAATTTTATTATGGCCTATCAATTCATATCATAAATTATTTTTTTAAGTGATTATAATTATATTTTATTATCTTTTATCATCTATTATTATTATTATTATTGTTGGTGTTGTTGTCATTTTGTTAGTATATACAGTGGCATGTTGTTTTACAAATCGGTTCCGATTCGTAGCTTGAATTTTTCATGGCTCGAGTGTCTCGAAATTTCAAAACGACATCGTTTTAAGATTTTTTTGATTCTCTTATCGGTAAGATAATATTTTTCGTACCATTTGGACTATTCGAACCTCACACTCTCCAGCTACGAAACATTTTCCTTTACAAATTGGGGGATGGCAATCTGTGGCTAAAGAAAAGGGACTAACTCCTCTATGACGGTGGCAACGTTTGGCTAAACATAAAGAACAATGGTGGCAACGTGTGCTACTTATGGATGATCCTCTATGAAGTGGTCAAATGGATGAAAACTGCCTCCAGCAATTATTTTCAATAGGGACCTTTGGTTTTAAGCCTATAAATACGCAAGAAAGATGCAAGCAAATCATCACCAATCCAACTATTCATAAATCGTGATATTAATTTTTAATTAAAAGCTGTTAAGTTAGTAATTTTAGGAGTAGATCAATAATAATTTTTTCACTAATTTCCTTTCTTCCGTCGATTGTTGTATTTTTCAATTTTTTGTTTTTGTTTAACTTTATGTAACTTGTAGCAAGTGACAATTTATTTGAATAATTCACATTCTATTATATTTTGTTTCTTGTTTATTTGATTACTTCCAAAAAAGTCCTTAATCTATTTAAAGCATAAAATTCATCTAATCTTTTTGTGTTTTCGTGAAAATTAATTTAAGTCTATCAATTAATCACTGTCGATTAAGTTTAAATCAAATTTTTGTTAGCAATATTATAATATTAATTTTCTTATTATTTGTTTTTATTCTTATTTATTTGATCTTATATCTGTCTATCTTTTACCTTAGGTAGTGAAAGGAACTTAAATCTAAACCTTCATTAGTTTGGTAAATAACACTTTTATCATTTGAGTGATAGACATTTTATATTTTTAATTCGAAATTAAATTTTATATCTTAATTATAAATTTAACAACACATTTGTATCGTGTAAGCGTATACTCACACCCTTGTTTTGGCATATTTTATGGCATTTGTATATATAACGCTTTGTAAGATTGATATTACATAAATTAACAGATTTTATTAATAAATAAAAAAAGGCGAGACGATATTATTAACGTAGATTCATCAGTACGATAAATGGAAAAAAAATTTTGTATACCAATAATATATCACGTGCAATACCTACATAAATTGACGAAAGAAATCTAGCCAGGTCGAAAAGGAAAGGAAAACGAACGGGCCGTCCGAGGGAAAGAAAATAAATTTATTAGTGGTCCCATTTTTGGATCTTTTATGATCAGACTTTTGCTTCTTCCTACACGCCTATTGCAATTTTCAGGCTGTTGGTTTGGTGTGATTTAGAGTCGCGTAAAAAAATAAAAAATAATATGATAATTTATAATGATTTTTTGATTTTTTTAATTATTTTAATTTATTAATAAATGATTTTAAATGTTAAAAATTAATAATTAAAGTATAAAAATTTAAAGTTTATTTTTATTTTTTAATTAATAATTTTTTAAAAAATTATTGAAGTTAATTTTATTTAATAAATTGTAAATAAAAATTACAATAAATAATTTGACATAATTTTATTTTATTTTAATTATAAGCGACTCAACTACTTTACGATTCTTTAAAGGTTTGTTTGAGAAATGTTAGATTAATATATTTTTTGATTTTTTATAAATAAAATAAAATATGAATTAAGTTTAAAGTGATATAGTAAAGATGTCATATGACTTAAATAAAATAATGTGCTAAAATAATATGTGATATTTTAATATATGCCAATTTTTTGTAATAATAGTGACAAATATTTTTGGGGGATCACCCGAAACGTTGGTTTAGGATGCAAATAATTTTTCTAGGGGACTGGATTCTCATCGATTGGGGATACCCAATTGAACTGTTGAGTTTAGTTCGTTGTGGGCTCATTTTAATATCGTTTTGATGATTATAATTGTTTATTTTTTAAGGTATTTTGAAGAGATCATAAATAATTAGATTGATCAAATATTAAGAATTATTTAATCAAATCAAATTTTTAATAGACAGCGTAGTTTTTAAAATAGTACATTAATTATTTTTAAACAAATGTGATCCGATCGAGTAGTTTTTAATGTCCAATTAACTTAATTTTTTATATACAAAATTCTTTTTTATAAAATTTTACAAAATAAACAATTTAAATCATCCGAACAAACTCACAATGAATCAAATTGAATCATCCAACTGGGAGTTGGATCCAATCCCTTTCAGATTTTGGGACACATCACGTCATTCAAGGGTTCTATCGTCCATCATTGTTGAATTGAAAACTCCATATGATTGATTTAAGTTTAGTTTTATTCTCTAATCTCTAAATTATTGTTCTCAGCTAATTGAGTTTATAATGTTATACAAATAAATTAAATAAAATTATCGTATTAGTCATTATTATTTTTACCCTATTATTTTACCATATGCCAAAAGAAGAATTTATAAATCTGATTAATTTATCTAACATTTTGTTTTAACCTCGCATACATGATCACTTATTGTCATTACATGTTAAAAATGTCGGACAGTAGGTAACTTGTTTCATATTCTTCATAAAACAGACACAATAAATAATTTTTACTATTGTCAAGTTCAAATGCTGGTGTACACAAAAATGTAATGGAAAAAATTACTCATTATCTCTTCTGACATTATAAATTTGTTTAAATTTTATCCCTATATACACTTGACTTGCATAAAATATAAATCAAGATCACTTATTTTTCTTTGTTTCCTTCCTCGTCTTGTTATATCCCATTGAAGAGGCTGAATATGAAATGGGTCGGATCCAAGCCTTATGCTGGCCCAATCCACTAAAGCCCAAATCCAAGTAGGTTAGATGAATTTATGGACAAGCCAATTGAGCCCAACTCCATGATCAACAGTCTACCCAAGTCCTCAAGCACTTGGGCCCAACCTACAATGGAAAGGCTAGACCAGCCGCGATGCTGGGCTGGGCCGAGCTGCAAGACCTAACCTATGGGCCGAACTAAAGTGGGCCGAACCCATACAAAGATATCCGAATGGACCAGTCCATCTTTATAAACAATCTTGTAAAAGGCCGAGCCAAGGCACAACGGTACCGAGCTGGGGGAACCTCACAGAGAAACATGGAAGCCATGAGGATGTGCATGTGCAAGTTTTCACCTCAGCTGGTCCCCTACACCTAGAATCACCGAAGCTGTTAAACCAAAAGAATGTGATTTGTTATCAGCATGACTACAATGAGTATAAGCACCTCTTGACAACTACTAGGTGGTCCCCCGCCATGGGCAATGCTAAAAGGAAACTTGGTAGCACCTGAACTCCATGAAACCATCTTGAGAAGCAAGCAAGGAACCCTATATATACTACATGAACTTCACATTGAAAGTAACTGAACTATTCCAAGCTGAACCCCATTTACTTACAAACTCAACTCTCTATACTTCTTCTCGATCACTAATTCCCACATCGGAGGGGTTATCCGGCCAACCCTGGCCGGGCAACTCTTACGGTGCTTCTTGTGGCAGGAACCTCAATCTTTGGATAGTCCAACTGAGTGTGGAGCCCCCATCCATCTTCATCTAATACGGAATCCGGTACGCACAATTGGTACAGTGAGCGTGGATCACTTCGTCTCTAAGCTCTGCACTCAGTTCCGGCGATGGGGATTGAGGACATCCCACTTTCGACACATACTCCACAGACAGAGAAGACAAAGGACAAAGGCTTGGCACTCCCAACAGTCCTAGAAGAACAAACTGGAAACAATAACCGGACTCCTGAATCCATCACCGATTACCCTTCGCTGGAGGTTCTTCTCATCATTTTCTTCTAGAGAAGGATTACAAAGATCGAATCATAGACTCCATGGGGATGGAGATACAAGAGCTGAAAGCGCAACTTAAAAGGGTACTGGGTGACCCAACGGAAAAGAAGACTGAAGCAAAGCCCTCTTGCTTGCAACGAAGGAGCTCATCCAGAGAACCATCAGTGAAAAAGTTTCCCAAAAATGAATCTGGGCAACAAAGCCAGCCTATCCCGGTACAGAGTGAGGCGGCGAGCAGCCACACCCGTGGGTCACGCCGGAGAAAGGCTAAGAGGCAGAAGACAGTTAGCCAACAGACTGAATACCCTCCTCAAGACCTTTGTACTTGGTTGATCGGCAACAAGCAGAACGAGCAACATCGGGATCATCTAGACCGTACCATTCACCAGAGAGAGCACCATGCGCTGGATAGGCTCGTTTTCTCGCCATTCTCCCTGGAAATTGAGGCCATGAGACCTCCAAAGAAATTCACCCCGCCAAAATTCACTTCGTGCGATAGGAAGTCGGACCCACTGACGCATGTTAGCCATTACAGACAGATGATGTCTCTATGGAGCCGAGATGAGGCACTAATGTGCAAAGTCTTCCCATCCAGCTTGGGAGAAACTGGACTTCGATGGTTCGATCGGCTCCCCACTGGATCAATTCATGGCTAGAAGCAGCTCTCCGAAGAGTTCCTAGCCAGGTTCGTCTCCAATACTAAGATCCCGAAAGAACCAGATACATTATTCGGTCTCCGAAAAGAGCAGGAAGAAACGCTGCGCAGTTATGCTAGGAGGTATTGGGAAGAGTACAATGACCTGGAGGAGAACGTGTGCAGTGAGCAGATGGCCGTTATGTCTTTCAAACATGGTCTGCGCCTGGAAAGTAAGTTGAGACAATCATTTACCAAGCGCCTGACCACAGCATTGAAAGATTTGCGTGCCAGGATTGAGCAGTACGCTCGCCTCGAAGATGATCAGATCGCCATCGAGATAGCATCAGCAAAACAAACAGCTCGGCACAAGAAGAGAACAGATCGAGGAGAACACTGAGGCCTTACTGTGAATGAGGTGGATAAGTCCAAATCTCATGAAGCCGTCGTGACTGTATTCAAAGAACTGATCTATCGAATCCTGAAAAAAATAAAGAGAGAGCCCTTCTTTGTTTGGCCACCGAAAATGTTGGGAGATCTGGCTCGGCATAATCAGAAGCGCAGATGCACCTACCATCAAGACAAAGGGCACATGACTCAGAACTGCAGGGCACTGAAGTAACACATGGAGGACCTAGTAGCAGCTGGGCACCTCCGGGATTACATTGATCAGGATAAGGAAGTGACCGAATCGAGGAACCCACCACCAAAACTGAATATTGAGCACCCACCTCGGTTGATAATAAATGTGATCCATGGAACAGCGACTCAGGAACCTGAGGAGACACTGAAAGAAGAGATTGCTAAGGCTATGCAAATTCAGCAGGTCATGTCAGTAGAGCCTGCATCGAAAAAGGTACGCACGGTATCCAAATCCCCTTTGTGCACTGTTTTATTTACTAGAAAAGATTTAGAAGGCATACAGTACCCACATACTGATGCGCTGATTATAACTGTAGGAATTGGGAAATGATTTGACGTAAAATGAGTCTTGGTAGATCAAGGCAGTGCAGCAGACATATTGTATTATGACTTGTTCAGAAAGCTTGGTCTCTCCGAACAACACTTCATCCCAGCGGCAACTCTGTTAGTAGGCTTCAACTCACAACCAGAATGGCCGCTTGGCAGAATAGTGTTTCCAGTTGTGGCAGGAACAAAAACCTTCCAGATAGAGTTTCTAGTTATTAATACACCATCCCCTTACAACGCCATACTTGGTCGTCCATGGATTCATCAAATGGAGGCAGTCCCTTCAACCTACCACCAGCTCATCCATTTCCCAACGGAATACGGAGTAGAGCAGATCTCAGGGGATCAAGTTGCGTCCAAACATTGCTTCATAGCGGTACTAAAGGCAAAGCAACTCTGCAACCGGGTACAAACAGTGGAACTGGCTGAACAGCCAGTCTTGGAAGATGTAGGGAGAGCCCCAGAGGAAAAGATAGTAGAGGATTTGGAGAAAGTCCTGGTAAATAAAGATGATCCAGAAAAGTACTTCCTTATCGGTACCTCGCTAGGCGCTGATGAGAAACTTTAGTTGTTGGAACTGCTGAGGGAAAATATGGAGGTATTTCGTGCTCTGAAATCACTTGCTCGCTTAAAACGCAAACCCTTTTCCTCTGTTAACCCCCTCTTCCTTACCTCTTCTTTGCTGCTTGCTACCAATGGACTCTTCTTCTTTGAAAGTGCTTGCTGGTGATCGTATAAGCCTAACCATGGCTTTGAAAAGATGTATTGATGAAGAGATCGCCAAGTTAACATCTGATGAGTCAAGCACCATAGACGCCCATCTTTCGAGAGGCTCCTGCTCAACTTCCAGCTTTATACCCTCGTCTGGAGGACCATTTTCTTCTCTATGAAGGAGGGCTCGACTGGGGAAATTAGAGGGTGACCCGATCTCATCGCTGCTGGCCGACATTGAGAGCTGAATGGGAAGAATGGTATGACAGAGTTGTACCCGCGCAAGAAGACGATTTGCAAGAGCTCTGTATTCTCGATGCCCTTCGTCTTTCCAGGTTTATTATTCCTGAAGACCCTTTCTTGATTCCCGCTGCTCTTTGTTTTTGGAACATGGCTTTCAAGTTTTTTCAATTTCGGTGTGGCATGATGGCCCCCACCATTCTTGATATTTGCCATCTTTTAGGGCTTTCACCCATTGGCTCTCCCTTCACTCCCGGCTACCCAGACCTTCCTGTCAAGTTCTCCCTTCCACCCTTAAACTCCTCTTACAGTGATTTTGTAAAGGCCGAGATAAAATGGTAGGTCCCGTAAGAGATAGAGAACTTTTTTCCTTCATTTTGTACTGGTTGTGCAAATTTCTCTTTTGTACATCATCTCAGAGGATTATGCCTGAGTTCGCTCCACTTGCGAAGGCACTTGTTTTGAAAAAACACATAGCCCTGGCTCCTTATCTCTTAGGCCATGTTTATAGAGCCTGTTCCCAATTTTGCGAGAAACCTCTTGATGTGAACCAAGGGGGTCTCCTTTGGGTGCTCCAACTCTGGCTCTTTGCTTACTTCACTGATTTGCATCCTAAATGCTTAAGATTCCTCGTTCAGGACCCTAGCACTTATGGGAAAAAATATGCCAGAGTTGTTCTTTATCATGCCTCCTTTGCCTACTACTTCACATTTTTTCACCAACTTCTTATTTCTCCACCTGCTACCTTCTTCTGCCCTTTTGATGCCAACAAAGGACCTGCTTGGCTACAAACATTCTTAGCTGATAAAGAGTGCTCTTCCACACCCCACAAAGGCATGTGGGCTTCTATTTTGCTGCCAAGAGAGCTGTTCATTGGCACTTTAAACCCTCAAGCTTATAAGTGTATAGCTGAGGTGTACAGTCCTTCTCAATTTGCCAGGCAATTTGGGTTAACTCAGGGGATTCCCATTTCACTCTGCAGTCTCTCGAATGTCCATCTAACAACTAGAGACCTAAGAATACCCAAATCAAAATTGGAAGAAGCAATATTCAAACTATTGAAAGAAATGAGCGAGTTCAAATTTATCCCCTTTCTCCCTTCTGGCCTGGCTCTGAAAAGATTTCAAAACTGGTGGACAGCCAATATGGAAGTGCGCCTATCCATACACCCACATGACTTACTGATAGGGTTAGGAGTGCTTTCGAAGGTCAAATCAACAACAGTTGAGAACATCTCCTCTCTTTCCACAGCTGCCAAAACTGCTCCTGTAGCCTCATCCTCTCCTGCTAGAGTTACCAGAGTTGCTTCAAAGAGGAGTAAGTATTTTTCGGTTTCCCCTTAGACTCTTTTGTTTGTTTCCTTACATTCATACCTCTTGGTGCAGGGTCTCCACAAGAAGAATCTCCTAAGAAGGCTGAAATCCTAGCTACTCTCAAGGACAAACAAAAGCAGAAAAAGAAAAGGAAGCTGATACTCACCCCTGAGGAATCTGAATCCCAGGTTGATGAGGAAGAGGTTGAGAAAGAACAGGAAGTGCCATTACAGAGGAGAAAGAGGGAACAGATGATTGTCTCTCTTTTGATTGAAGATCCCACTCATGAGACATCAGTACAAAAAAAAAAAGAGAAAGAAAATGACTGTCTCTCCTTCTGAGTTGGTCGAAGACCCCGTTCGTGAAGCAGCTGCTAAGGTAGTAGAACAAGAGCATTCTAAGGCCATAATTGTCTTTGAGAGAGCTGAGAAGAGACGGCAGCAACAATTTCTGAGAGACGAAGTTGCTGCTGCTGATGCATTACAAAGGGAAACTGCAAGAAAGCAACAAATTGCCGAACATTACTCGCTTCGTAGCTCTCCTATCATTGCCAACACTTCTGAAACAAGTAATTTCTTTTATGCTTTTTTTGTTTTTCCTTGTCAAATTTTGTTATTGAAACTTGACATTACTTTACATTTCTTCCTTTTGCAGTAACAACTACTGAGCCTATTCTTCCAATAAGGACTCCCTCAGTTTCAGTTGAGGTTGATCAGCTGCAGAACGTGAGGACTATTCAAATCATCCTTCCACTTCCCAAGCCTGCATTTGATGTACCCTCCTCGAGACCAAGCATTCCTAAATTTCTTTCTTTTGGTTTGACTCCATATCTTCCCCATCTGACCTTTGACCCACCTCAATTCGGTTCTCTTTCGAACCTTGCTCTTCTTCCTTCTTCCAAGGAAATTCCAACTGCTACTCCATCTCTGATGGCAGTTGATTCTCCTATAAAGGGTACTGGCAGCTCTCCAACCCATGGTTTATTACCTGTGCCTTGTTTCAGCCCCTCTTCCCTTAACCTATTGGTGGCTAGGACTATAGAGACTGCTGAAGATGCTCCACCCATTTCTCCTATCCCTATGCAGTCCTCTGTGCCTTCCACCATAGCTCTCTCTGCGCCCCTCATGTCTACGGAAGAGGTAGATATCTTCGAAGCAAGACTAGCTAGTCTATTCGACATACCCTCTACCTCTGCAATAGCCAATGATGAAGCTGAGCCATTAGTCTTGGCTAACTCCTTGCTAGAAATGATGAGGTAGATATCTGACCTTTGACCCACCTCAATTCGGTTCTCTTTCGAACCTTGCTCCTCTTCCTCTAGTAGCAAGCCTTCTGAACCTCTAATGGACTTAGACACCTATCTGGAACTATTAATCTCTTTTTCGAGGATCCCTTTTGAGGCTTTATAAAGGCCTATAATAAGAAATGGGTTCCTTCAGTGCTGCAAAGTTGCTGAGCAGTCCGGCATGAATGTCTCGAATCATCTATATCAGGCAGCAGCTACCATCGACTTCTATATCAACATTTGCCATGTTGCCAAGGCTGTAGAGGAGAAATTAGTGAGAGACCAGAGCTTTGTTTCCACAGTACATACTGAATTCTCAGGGCTAAAGGAACAACATTCCTCTGTCTCCCATTTTCGAACTCAATTACTGGAGAGAAAAGCTCAACTTGAGGAGGAGCTATCTGCAGTGAACCAGGCCTTAATCCGAACTGACACCAAACTGCAAATCACCAACCAAGGATTGGCTGATCGAAAGGAAGAAATGACTGCAGCTATTCAGTTGTTTTCATCATTTAACAATAGGAAATCTGTTGTAAAAGAACAATTAAGACATTGTAATGATTTTTGGGCCAATTTATGGCAAAATGTACTCAACTCTTTATGAAAAAAACAAATTCTGATTTATCATTTGAGTACTCTTGTGTTCTTCTGGTTGACATTTATTCTATTCCTTGTGTTTCCCAAATAGTTGGAAAATAAGGCTTCAAATATCTGTCATTAATCATTTTGGGATGTATGTATCCATTCAAATTTCTCAAATAGTATGCTCCGAAAGGCAGGACTCTATGAATTTGATATGGTCCTTCCCAGTTAGGTGACCATTTACCAAACTTATGGCTTTTAATTCCTATTGGGAGTATTGTCTTCCATACCAAATCACCTTCATCGAAGCCAATGTGTTTGACTTTCTTTTTGTAATTTTTGGCTGCTTTCTTTTTTTGAAAAAGAATGCTATTTAATGCCAGAATTTGGCTTCATCTATTCCTTCTAATTCCAAGCACATACTCTCTAGCTGGTCTTGGCATCTTACCCTCAAAGATTTAACATTAATTTCCACAGGCAACACAGCATTATACCCATACACCAAGGCATAAGGAGTAACTCCTGTGCTTAACCTTGGGGAAGTTCTATAAGCCCACAATACATCCAACAATAAGTTATGCCAATCCATAGGATTGTCTTCCACAACCTTTTATATTCCTTTCTTCAAGGACTTATTGGATGATTCAGCTTGGCCGTTGGCTTGTGCATAATAGGGGGTGAAATTAACAAGACTAATTCCAAACTTTGCCACAAAAGACTTCACCATTTTCCCATCGAACACAGTCCCATTATCAATAGTTATAGTTTGTGGGATGCCAAACCTATGGATTAAATCCTTGATGAATCCAATAACCTCAGTCTGGTCTACAGTCTTGTATGGCTTAGCTTCGACCCACTTGGTGAAGTAATCAGTAGCTACTAAAATGAAATAATGATGCTTCGAAGAAGGTGGGTGTATTTTTCCCATCATATTCATGGCCCATCCTCTAAATGGCCAAGGCTTCACTACTGCATGTAGGTCAGCTATAGACACATGCCTTATGGTGCCATGCTTTTGACATACCTGGCAACCCTTTGAATATTCTATGCAATCTTTAAGGATAGTTGGCCAATAGTAGGAATGCCTTCGGTGCAACCATTTCATCTTCACACCAGGCTGATGAGCACCACAGATGCGTTCATGAACCTCAACCATAGCTGTTAATGCTTCTTTTGGGCCTAAACATTCCAGCAATAAACCATCTCCCCCCATTTTGTAGAAAGCATTACTATATATGATGTATTGCATAGATTGCAATTTAATTTTTCTGCTGGCCTTCGAGGACGGGCCAGTCAAGTACTGCATTATTGGATGCCTCCAATCCTATTCCTGTAAGTCATTATGATTGACTTCCAAGACCACATTCCTTTTATTTAAAGGTGGTATTGATTTTTGGTATGTTGTTTGGCTTATGTCCCTTTAAATATTATCCTTTC